GATTGATCTATAATGATCTGATTGAAATTTGATATAAAAAATCAAGATATGATTCATTAGATTTCAAAATTCTTAGAAAGTATTGAAATTATTCGATTTTGAAATATTTGATATATTGATCAAATATTTTTGATGACGATATCATTATGAATCTATCTATTTCTATTCATCTATCTTCATCTTTCTTTATAGATCTCTATTTCATTTCATTTATCTTTATTCTAAGAGGGCGGCGTTATGGCGCGAGATCTGCAATCTTTGAATATCATTCATAAGAATAGAGATTTGGCTCTATCGATAATCGAATTAATGAATTCTTGATTATTGGAGATTTTAGAAGATTATTATATTCTGAAATCTTGATCTCCTCATTTTTCTATATATCAATTCTTGAATAAATATATTGGGAATCCAAATTCAAAATCTCCTATATTTGATTATTTTCTCTTTTTATAAATTTATTATCATATATATTCTCATGATCTCCAATAGATATATCATATAATCTGAATAAATATCAATATCATTTAATTTTAGAAAAATAGTTATATAAAAAATTATAGAGAAAAGAAGAAATCCAAATTATGAGATTTCTATTTATTTTAAATTTGAGATATCTCTCATCTCTTGTTTGCTTTCGATGAATATTATCTAAAATATCTAGATCCCTCAATATTCCGCCTTCTATTCTAATCCTATAGAATAATTATTATCTTTCGATTTATCGAGCTCATATTCTCCGTATTCATTAGAGATTCAGATTATTTGATGAATTTTGGTCCGTAATTCTTTTATATTCTTTATCGCTCAAATATTTTGGACGCGTTAATCGCATTCTCATACGGAAAAATATTCAAATAAATCGTCGGTCTCTATCTAGAAAATAGATTGTTTTCTTTTCAAAATAATCTTGCTAGAGAGATCTATAATCGGATTGATTGCAATCGATTTTCAAAAATCGAGATATTATCCATCCGAGATATCCTCAAAATTCTAGATTCTATTTCTTCAAAAATCGCGTTCTCATTCAAGATAACCGTTTTTTTTTTTGGGAGAATATTTTTTCATTTTTATATCTTTAAAAATCATATTCTCATATAGATTATCCGCAAAATCTCGTTGATTTATAATATCTTCATCAATCTCTATCATGATGATATTCTCGTACGGAATATTCGATTTTTTGATCATTTATGAACGATGATATCGACGAAGAATATATCAGAATTAGATTCTATGAACGATATTATATTCCATTCGAGATCATCTTCTTCATTCAAAATGGCGGTCATAAATGGAATGACCCATTAATCGACCAATATAATATTCGTCGATTGATCTCGTCCTTCAAAAATTCAGCGATTAAATTTATAGAAATGATATTGATGCATTATTGGAGAATTCTATTCAAGATTTTCTTGATTATCTAATATCACGAATATGAAGAGAATATCATTAAATTCAATCAATATATCTTTAGTATTGCCTTCGTCTATTTCGTTGAAAATCGTATCCTATAAAGAAAATCCTGAAAATTTTGAAAGACTTGTCTTCTCGTACGGAATATCTTGAAATTTTCTAGATCATTCTCTTATAAGGAGTATCTTCGAAATTTAATCGTTTTTCGTTCAAAATCGTATTCCCGTGCGATATATCTTGATATTTTTGATAAAAAAAAATGAATTTTCGTGCGGAATATCTTCAAATCTTAGATGATGATTCATCAAAAATCGTATTCTCATATAGAACGTCCTGAGAATTTTTTATAAATTCGCGTTCCTATATAATATATATATAGATAATTCATTTGCATTATATATGAATATAATTCTCTATATATATTCATATATATATATCTATAGATATATTCATATTCATATATATATTCATAAATATATTCGTTCATATATAAATAGAAATAAATTCATTCATATATATTCATATATATATATTAATATATATAGATAAATATATATATATATCCAAAAAAAATCGTATCTCTTATATAGAGATCTTTAAATATCCTTTTTCGAGATTTGGAATTATCGAGGAGCTTGTTTATCCTATTATAGAGACGAGAAGAGGCGATTCGATCCTCTCGAAGATCAATATCTTCTAATTCTTCAATTCGGGCCGCTATAGAGATCGATATCTTAATATCGTTATCCTTAATCCTTCCAAATCTAAGGATCGAGATCTTGAAATTTTTTAATTCGGCATCTTGCAGAGATCTTGATATTCTTTATCTTGGGCGGGTCCCTCCAAAGGCCGGTGTCTTGAAATTCCGTAATTCGGACCGCTGCAAAGACCGGCGTCTTCAGATTCTTTATCCTTGGTCCCTGCAAAGATTAATATCTCGAAATTCTTCATAGCATCTTCCTACAAGCATCCATATCTTAAAATTCATTCTTTGACCTTGACCATCTTGAAATTCTTCAATTCGCGTCCCTATAAGGACTAATATCTTAGAGCTCTTTATCTTTAATCACCCAAATCCAAGGACCCATATCTTGCAGCTCTCCGATTCGAGCGCAAAGAAATATATCTTTATTTCTTTTCAGAAAATCAAATCTCTAAATCCCAAATCATATGAGATATCTCCTAAAATTATTTCGGAGAAGTAGATATCTAAATCTCAAATAATAAGAAAGATCTCATTAAGAATTCTGGGGAGAATCAAATCCCCAAATCTGAAGAATTTCTCAGAAAAAATTATATATATATATTTCAGATCTCAAGAGACGATTTCCTAAATTTTCTTCGGGGAATCAATTCTCTAAATCTCAAATCTCAATAGATATCTCTCTCAAATTTTTCAGCTAGTCATCTTCCCCAATATCAGATCGTAAATAGAAGAATCAAATTTTCATATTTCAAATTATAAGATATTATTCTCTAAGAATTTGCAGGAGAATCAAATTCTCATATTTGAAAATTTCAAATTATAATAGATATCTCCGAAGAATTAATCAAAGAATCAAATCTTCAAATCATAATGAATCAAAATTCAATCATAATCCCCAAATCTCAATCAAATTCCGAAAAAATGAATCCTAAGAAGAATCCTCTTAAAAATTTATAGAGAAGCATCTCTCCAATCCTCATATCGTAAGAAATTCTTCCCCAAGATTATTCAGAGAATTACAATGTTATATTAGATATTCAAATTCTATCATCTTCGTAAAAAATTCTACGAATGACCTCATATCTTTTTATTAAAAAAATTATATAAATTTCGCAAAGATCGGAAGATCATTTAATCTAGCAAAATTATTTCTATATAAAAAATATATTTAGAATTCTCGGATATCCAAATTATCAAATAAATATTATTATAATATTTTTTTTTCAAAAGATAAGGGTTATTCTTATTCTAGAAGAAATTCTCGAAGAATATAGAGAATTATTTATCATTATTAATATCATGAATATCTTTCTCTTATCTAATATTATCTATTTCAAAAAAAGAAATATTTCATTCATTGAGAAAAAAATGAATATCGAGAAATCTTCAATATAGAATCAATGAAAGATAGAAAATTCATCTTCGTCATTCAATATTATATCGAAAATATAATATATAAATTCCGAATTATCATTATTATTCCAATATTCAATTCAATATATCTAGATTTATTCAGCTCTAAAAGATCGGAAATATCGTATATTTATCAAGACCTAGTTTCCAAACGAAAGAAATTCGAATAGTCGCATGCTCGCGAAAACGATAAATTCATCAAATACATCAAATTTATCATTCATCTCCCCCAACAACAGACCTCCTGTTTCAGATTTCTTGATAAATTGAGAAATTGCAAATTCAACGACCAAATAGGCTTCAGAGAATATTAGATTGACAAGGTGAAAGGCTGACAAGTTCGACAAAAGCTAGATCCATAGACCGACAAACCGTGAGACCCGAAATACTGAGAGATACGAAAAACTGAGAGATACAGACCGGCGCCCTGACCGATCGATTCTCATTCCGATTCACAGAAGGTTTATCAGAAGTCGACCCGCCGGGAGCTTCAAGCTCTTCGAGAATGTTCATGTTCTTCTTGAATAGTATTAATCTGCGATCCTGAAGCCGATTTTTCCATCATCTTCCATCATTATCCATAGATTCTAAGATCAATTTGCGTAATATCTTATAAATGAATAAATCATACGATTCAAGGAAACAGTCCAATAGAGTGGTTCTATCCATATATCAGAACAGATATACATATATTCTCAGATTATAGATCTTTAGTTCACAATCATTTGCCCTTGCTAATCTTCCACCCTAAACCCTAAACCCTAAACCCCATCTTCTTACCAGATTTGGCATTTTCCCATCCTCTAAACCCTAAACCTGGTTAGGATTTTGACCTAGGGTAAACAGAATCAAAGAGCACTCTAAAGGGAGCCCTAGGAGGGTAAGTGCTCTTTGATTTCTTGGGTTTACATCCCTATTATGGTCATAAAATCCTAACCTGCCCTAAACCCCCTCCTAATTCTTCGGCATGATACCATTATAATTCGCGGTCGCGCATCAGGGGGCTCCTATGTAAAGCTCCCCTAGGAATTCTTTTAGCTAGGTCTACCTCGCCATCAAGAGTTAAATGCCCAAGGGGGGATTTAGAGTGTAGGGTTTAAGCGCTCACTCTGCTGTGGAATTGGCGTTATTGGCAGTCTGGGAATTGATTTGTATAATCCTGAATCTGATGGATATGTCTCTTACTAGGGGTGCTGTTTTTGGGCTGTGTAAGGGGGTTGCTAATCTTTTGGAAGCTACCATGTTTTGTTTTACCCCAGGTCCTTTCAAGCTACGCCCTAAATCCTCAACACAAATCAGACTTAGAATTGATCCCAATGTCCCTCACCTTACAACCCAATTTTCAGAAATGCAAACCTTCAAACATTCAAAGCAAAAAGCACAGCTCAAACCCTAAGCAGGGGAAATACCCTAAACCCTAAACCTAAACACCTTTTTTGTTAACAACCAGAGTGAAGTAGTATCAGGCAGACGGAGGGTTCAGCGTCAACATGACTGGCCAGTCGTCTCCAAACCATTGCGGCACAAGCAGCTTTGCCTTATGAGCTATAGTCTAAACTCCTTAAACGTGCTTTTATAAGGGGATATATAGGGGAGTACTATATGGGTTATTAAGGGGGATACTAGGAATTTAGACACTACTCATGGAGCTTCACGTCTGCCCAACAGGCACGAGGTTTTGTTCTTGCGGATCGGTTTGTGCAGCCGTGCTCGGTTGCGGATTTGAGGTTTTCAGGGCTCAGGGACATGGGTTTCAGAGTTTCAGTAGGGTTTAGCGTTTTCGATGTAGGATGTAGTGGCTTATGGCTTTAAGGTGTAGGATCTGTAGGGTTTGGGTTCGGGGTTTCTCAAGACAGGGTAGCCTCAGCAATGGTTTTACATTGATGACTATGAGGCTCACTGCTAAGTCTGCCATTCCTGAACCCAACAGTTTAGGGGAATAATGTCGTGTTTTCAATGTTGGGCCATCATCTTTTTGCATCCAGGTAGGGATGCTTGGGAAAACTTTGATAGCCGCGGAGGGCTTAGGGTTAAATAGTGCGTATAACCCCTCCAGTTTCTGAAATTCATTATAGGGTGGAAGGTTTTAGGGCATGCTGCAGGTTACCAAGGCTGCATCCACTACCGTACTAGACGCTTTTGCTCTCGCAAGGCGGCCTAGCAGAAGAGAATCAGTTGCTCCAGAACTACGTCGAGAAGAATAGGTGTGGACTCATTCTAGCTGCCTTTTGCCTCACCTCAACCCTATAAACCCTCTCCTACACCTACCTTAAAGCGCGTTAGCTCACGGACGGCATGGTGCTCCCTGTGAGGCCTTCTAACAAGCCCTTAACCCTCAACCCTCACACTCCTCCACACTCAGCTCAAGCCCCTTGAATCCCAGAATCCAAACAAAGCGCCACGCCCAACGCCCTGAAAACCCTAAAGCCTAAACCTGTCTTGTCAGAAGCATGGAATTTTGTCGGGGCCGTACTTTTTAAGAACTTTCAAGTGTGAATCCTGTTTGGGCGAATATTTGACGGAATAAATGCTTAGGTCTAGGCGTTGGGGTTAGTAAGACGCTGCATGACTCGTAAAAAGCTTTGACGATGGAAGCTTGACTTCATACATTTAAAGTCCTAAACCCTAAGTTTAGATTCAGGGTTCAGAGCCTAGGGTTTAAAGTCCTACGCCCTAAACCTTACTTGGATCTCAGCCCTCAAGAATCTTGAGTCTGAAGCCTAGATCCGTTCACAAATCAGGCTTCCAGGATGTATCCGAACCCCAAAATATTTCAATCTCAACCAACGCGGAAAACCGACTCCCAAACCCTCAATGTAGGAGCTCAACTTATGACCAGCATCCTGTTGAGATCTATTTGAGTGCCCTATACAATTCTACCAAGAATTTGGGACCACAATAGTGGCAATCATCCTTATGAACCTTGTCTGGGCTTAGCATAGAGGGTTTAGGGTTTAGGGTTTTCCCACGTTACCCCTATCGTACTGTAAAGCCCTTTAAACCCCCCTGAGTCGCAGTCCCGCAGAGGAATGACGGTGAAGCAGATTACGCCCAGGAATCTTGGGCGGTCTGGTGTTTAGGAGAGGGGCGTGCCCGAAGACCCTAAACCTTAACAGTCTAAGGCCTTGGAAAAGTGGCCGCGGGCTGAATTTAATGTGGGATCCTAAATGGTTGGCTCAGATCTTGCTCTACAATGTACTACCAATGTTTCAAGGCCACAAAGAATCTTCCTACTTTCCATGCTGTTATCTACTTTAATGGAAAGGAGTGTGAGGTTCCAGGGGGAAGGAAAGGGGGCTTAGGGTTTAAGGTGAACCCTCAACCCTAAGCCATTACGTAAAGCGCTTTTCCTCAAGAAAGCGGCTGGATGGCAGAATATTTGTGGAAAGCAATTGCCAGTTTCACTGCGAAGCCAGGCAATGCTTCAAAACCCTAAACCCTAAACTCGTGCGGTTTAGGGCTTAGGGTTTAGGGTCGGAGATCGGGCATCGGAAATGATTTTCTTTCGCTGTGGGCTGGGGTTTTGGCAGTTAGACCCTAACTCCCAAGGTTGAGGGTCCCTGGTCTCACAAGCCTAGATTCCAAGAGCCCATGCTCGACACTCAGGGTCCCTGCTTGCGACACATCCACTACGAAGCCAATTCTGCTGGGGTGTACTTGTGTGCTGGGACAAAGTCACTTACAGACTTAGTGACTTACACCATGTCTTAGGACCTGTTCATCGTCAATTTGGTAGTGCCCCTAAACAGGCACCCAAATATAAACGGACCATTAGGTATACTATACCATCATCCCTTTTATGGGGAGCCCCCGCCCCCCACAAAAAAGCACCACTCATTTTGGGAAAGCCGCATGTGTCACTGTGCGGTTGTGAGGGCCAGATGGCAAGTGTCTCATGCTTTGGGGTATGGTTTAAGGTTTAGGGTATGTGGCAAGGGAGTCAGGGCTTAGAGTTTAATTTCAGGGTTGTTAGTTTAAGATACACTTCCGATTCATAGCATCTTACCTAGGTTGAAGTTGTAACGGGAACACATATGGCATTCGTCGAAGCTCTTGCTTCTTGATGAGGAATGCGTGGTGGGCATCATAAAAACTTGAAAACCCCAAACGCAACTGAAACCTAGGCCCCTAAGCCAAGCACCTTGCAACAGCATACTCTTGAACCTGTACCTGAGCCCTTCAAGAGAAGCTTTCCTGCAAAATGCCCATGATGTTCTACCTTGACACTGGAGCTGCCTCTACTCTTGCCTGGAGTTCCAGTCTACAGATATTACCTACTTTGGCCCCAAGATTTCATTATTGCTGCTGTTGTTGTTGTTGTTGCTGTTGCTGTTATTGTTATTGTTCTTCTTGTCGTCGTCGTCGTTGTT